CCTGCCAGCGCCTGGCCGGTGAGCCTGGGGCCTCGTCTCTAAGATGGGAAGGAGCCGTCTGGGCAGGGCTGTGCGAGGGGGCCGGGAGTCTGGCCGGGAGCCCAGCGGATGCTTAGCCGTCTGGCCGTTTCTGGGCCGTCGCTGCCCGGGGCCGCCAGGGCGAGGGAGCTGAGCGGAGCGGCGTTCGGTGTTACTCGAGGCCACACATAGCCGGGGTGGTGCTGGGGCTCCCTCGTCTCTAAGATGGGAAGGAGCCGTCTGGGCAGGGCTGTGCGAGGGGGCCGGGAGTCTGGCCGGGAGCCCAGCGGATGCTTAGCCGTCTGGCCGTTTCTGGGCCGTCGCTGCCCGGGGCCGCCAGGGCGAGGGAGCTGAGCGGAGCGGCGTTCGGTGTTACTCGAGGCCACACATAGCCGGGGTGGTGCTGGGGCTCACTGTGCTCCCAGACGTGTCCTCAGCCGCCCTGCCGTGTCCGGTGCTGGCTGCTCTCTGGGCACATGTGTGCGGCAGGCCCACCAGGAGCCATGGGCTACAGGATGGCTCCCTGGGTTCCCAGGAGATTTTCTCTTTCCTTTTTTTTGTAATTACTTTTTTTTAAAAAAAGAAATTGCTAGAGGGCACATGTACTTGCTAGAGAGAGAAACAATTCCACGGGAATGGCCACACTGCAGTCCCGTCTCCATTGCTCCTTTGGGATTTTAAACATGCACACACGTACGCCTGCTGTGTTTTTACGCCACTGGGTCTGGGACTCTAACTGAATGGTCGGCCACGTGGGATCCAGGCCTTAACCACAGTGCCATGGCTGTGCCTGTCCTTGGCGATTTTTCACAGACACCCTAGGAGGTCGCTGTCGCTGTTTCTGTTTATGATGAGCAAGCAGGTGCCAGGCCCACTGGGGCTCACCCCTCTGGTCACTCAAGCCTGCCAAGCTCAGCCTACCCACGCTGAGCTGCAGAGACCTCACCCTGCCAGCCCCTGCTGCTCTGAGCTCGGCCCTGACCTAAGAGGAGACTCCTCTGGCTGCTGGCTTGAGATCCCTGGGCCTCATGGTCACTGCTGGACAGTCCATCTCTTGACACAGAGTGAAGTCTGGCTAGCTCATGGACTCCACAGGATGGGGGGGGCCCCTAAAACCCCAGGAGCCTCAAGCAGAGAGGACGGCATGGCCATCTGGCGTGTGCTCCCACGTTCCTGTCTTCACTTTGCCCCCCTCTTGGCTATCTCATGTCCATCCTCCTGGCCTCCGCGCCCAGTTCAGCCGATAGCTGCAGTCTGGGGGCCCCGGGCCCCTCCCTGCTATGAGCCTGTCGGAAGCGATGGCTCCGCGGGGCTCCAGCGCTGAAGGCATTGCGAGGTTCGACCACGGCACAGTGCACGGCGGGCAGAGATGCAGCAGGTGCAGGTGCTGCAATGGGCATGGCAGACAGCGCTCAGTAATGGAGGCCACGCTCCCGTCTCCCTCTCCTGGCCTCGGGGCGGGGGCTGGGGCTGGCCTCCGCCATGAGTCGGAAGCTATGAGGGCTGCACAAAGGTGGGACCTTGGCCCGGGGCGCTTTCTGGAAGGACGCGTCTGGAAGGTGGGCTTTCTTTAGCCTACGGGCTTTCTCCTGCGAACCTTCGGCCCCTGGCAGGCACGGGCTTGCTTTCTGGGAGTCGTGGAGGGTGACGGTTTGAGGAGGATGACCGTGACTCCTGTGGCCCGGCCATGCTGCTGGTGAGAGGGTGGGGAGGATTCACATGCTGCCATTGAAGTCGGGGCCGGGGCTGTGGTGAGCCAGGCCCAGTGCCATGGCTGGGTGAACCTTCTAGATGAATCCGGGAGCCGCACTAGCCGCGCTCGCTCAGGTTCCCTCTTCCACAGGCAGGCTGGCGCCGGTGCCCCCGCTCTCCAGTCCTGTTCTCGCCTGAGACGGGTCACACGCAGGAGCTGGCCTGCATGACAAGTGTCCTCCCACCTCCAGGCTGCACCTCTCACTCCTCCAAGGCGTCCTTGTCATGGATGGGGGTGGCATGTGCACTGGGTCCACGCAGCTCTGTCCCGACCCGGCCACCAGGCCGT